AAAAAAAAAAAAAAAAAAAAAAAGATGTAATATAAGGACACAGTCTAATGAGTCGACGGAATGGCTGCTGGAACAGCTGATTTATGATGCAGTATGGCGTACACGTTGTATAAGACGTTGACTGCTGGCGCTTTGAAACGATTCTTTGTACTCGTTTCGATACACAACACAAGAATTGTTTTAACTATTAATTTAATTAAACGAAGTGATTTTCGAATGAAAAGAAAAAACAGATGATTCAATTTACAGTTCGCAGTATCCACGTAAATCAACATTAATTGAAATATCTATAGCATTTTACGAGCTACCATAACTGCATGCATCCTAAACGCTAGGAACTGAACTTAATATAAATGAGAACAGCTGATTCACGTTCGCCGCCAGAAGCATATTGATTTTCTCGGAAGCAAACTCGGCTTTTTCCCCCGCGAGCACTTGGTATGTCCAAGTATCACATCGAGCTCGCGCAAGAAAACATACTTATTCCTGGAACATTCACAACACCTCAAAAAGCAGGCAACACGTCACACAAGAGTGCGAGTGTCAAAGCTAAGAGGTTAAGCAACGTCAACTACCAAGAGCCACATTTCCACTCAGAATAAAATAACATAAGATGATATTGGCGAGAGTGAAAAAACCGATGTGGCGCAAGGACCTTGGTGGGTCGACAGTCTCGCGTCAAGAACGTACGACGACCCCGACCCCGTAGCCAAGGGAGCCACCCTCTCACTGTATAATTCTCAATCACTCTTTATCTTTCTCTCTTCCTCGCTAACATGCATATATACACGCGACAGAACACACAAAGAAATCCACCGATTCTTTCTCTCTCGCACTTGATCATCACACCCTATCCCACCCTCATGTGGTCGCTCCACAAAACACCGTTTATAATTTACGTATATCGCAACCCTTTCTCAACTGCTTACCTAACCCCCTGTAACGAGTCACTGTTCCTCACAGATGCACTGCACACCCTGTACTACCACCAAGATGTTATAAAACCAGCACACTGAAACGATAGTACACACACTCGCACTCGAAGCAGGACAGCTGAGCCGTGCCCCGCCAGTTTTATGTAAGAGACATCTTGCTAAGGTGTCCGCGAGACCTCACGGGAACGCCGGACCGGTACACAGGCGCACGCGAAAAAGATCCTTTATATCGCGATTACGCACTACCACCGCACTACCCGATTCTCTAGCCTACCCCATCGACGACAACAACAAATATGGCGAACAAACCTCCTGCACCTCGCTTAGAGGACGACTGTCGACTGATCTCGCTAGGTGGCGCCACTCCTGACCCCTACCGATCCTGACTATTTTGCTATTACAGCGCCAGATATTACTCTGGTGGCTATATTCATAACTATTCTCGGATATCGAGCTACTGATTCTGTGAATTCAACTTCAAGTTATATAGCTGTAGTACATTGGAAACTTTAACAATTTTCATTGCTAATTGCCACTAATTTTAACTATGAATGATGTTAATTAATTCATTAGGTTTAATATCGTTGATGATTTATATTTTAAGCGACTACTTTTGAAGATTTTTATTATTTCTTATATTAGAATATGTCTATGGACAAAGCTTGAGACAGTTCTTTTGGTATTCTTTTTTCGATAATAAGTTGATGATTCTTCATGAAATCTATTATATTTGTATCATTTAAGTCAATCAGTAGTATGATTTATATACTTAAATGGATTTAGATTTATCAATTTGGCGCATAATTTGATTAAATTTCTTGACGAGACCTTGCTAGCATTAATATGCCGGTGCTGCTATCTATTGTACGGTAATAAAAAGTTATAGAAGATTTGATGTAATGGGGAGAAACATCATTTTTGAAAGAGGTCTGTGCATTGCGTAGTACACTGAAAGTCTATTTAAAGTGTGACGTTTTTGATTTATAAAATAATAATGTCTGAAAACGATTCTGCTGATGATATTATGAAAGAACGTTCGGATGATGATACATTCAATATATTAATTGCTACTGATTGTCATTTGGGTTATGAAGAAAGTACCAAAAGAGGTTTGTTGCTGCATATTTGCTATGTCGATCAACCATGTACTTCTTTGTTTCCCGCTCTTTTCTCATGCACAATATGTGATAACTACATTATACGAATGCACTTTTTAATTTAAAAAATATTTAATTGGCTAATAAGTTTTCATAGTGTAAAATCATTCCTAATTACAAAATTTAATATCTTAGTACATAATCAAATTTATTACTCTGATAACCAGCTATTCTACAAATGGATGCAATATGATATTTTCACAGCCCAAGAACAGGACAGCATTAAAACGTTTGAAGAAATACTAAAACATGCTAAGGACAATAATGTTGACTTTATTCTTCTTGGTGGTGATTTATTTCATGATACTAAACCATCGCAAGGCACATTATTAAAAGCTGTTGAGTTGCTCAGAAAATATTGTTTAGGCTCTAGGTATATGAAACCATCTTCTAGTAATATAAAATATTTCGTGTAAAATAACTCTTCATATTACATTACAGAGAACCAACATTTGAATTGTTGTCCGATCCTGAAGAGAATTTTCAATACAAAACAGCAAACTTCGAAGATCCAAATTTAAATGTCAGCATTCCTGTATTTTCTATACATGGGAATCATGATGATCCAAGTATTACTTGCAATATATGAAATTCTGTATCCTTATAATATATGATATAATATTGCCCAATATATTTTCAGGTTCTGGAACAATAGGATCTCTAGACCTTTTATCAACAACTGGTCTTGTTAATTATTTTGGAAAATGGACAGACTTAACTCAAGTAACAATGTCACCTGTGATATTGAAAAAGGGTAGCACGCATATATGTCTCTATGGAATCAGTTATATAAATGATCAAAGATTATCACGATTGTTTAGATCATACATGGTATACTGGAATAATAGAAAGCACTTTGTTTTCTTTAGAATACCAACATTATATGAGTTTTAATTAAAAATAACTGTTTCCAGGTGAAAGTACTTTTTCCATCCCATCTTGATATTGAGCAGTGTTTCAATATGATGGTTTTGCATCAGAATCGAGTAAAACGCCCAAATTGCCCATACATTCCGGAAGACAGATTGCCCAGTTGTCTTAATTTCATTTTATGGGGTCATGAACACGAATGTCGCATTAATCCAGAAATTATTGCTGAAACTGGATATCACATTTGTCAACCTGGTAAAAAAACCTGTATTTTTTCTGAATTCTAATTAAGTATCAATAATAAATCTGTATTTTTAGGTAGTTCTGTGGCAACTTCACTGTGTGAAGCAGAATCAGTACCAAAACGTATTGGTATATTGAGCGTCAATGGAAATGATTTTAAAGTCGAACAAATATACTTACAAACCGTCAGGCCTTTTGTGTTTGACAACATAGTTCTCCGAGACGTTGATATTGGTGAAGATTATAGTAAAGTGATGGCTGATCGTGTAATGGATTATGTAGATGACTACATTGAAGAAACTATGATAACCAAAGCCTCTAAGCAATTAACTGGTGTGTAACTAAACCATTTTTTTCTAGAAATAATTAGTTTCTAAATTATTGATAACCAATCATTTTGTAATTTAATAATCAAAGGACATCCGGATCAACCAACTCAGCCATTAATTCGTCTTCGAGTTTTCTATTCCAGTAATGAAGAAATATTTAACACAGTAAGGTACATACAGACTTAAAACTATAGTTTTAAATTCTATTTACGAAATTGATTATACTTTATTTGACTAACATTTTAATAGGCTCGCGCAAAAATATTGTGATGAAGTAGCAAATCCAATGGACATGATCATATTTCGAAAAGCACCAGAAAAAAATATCAAACGTAAATGCACTGATCCTTTTGAAGATGATGATGAGACAAATGATTTGTTAGCGTATGATGATGTATGTATAGTTTCTACAGATCATCGATTATTGAGCAAGCGTGAAAGTTAAACTAAAAATAAAGTTTAAAAATTGATATTTCTCCCAGAATGATAAAGATTGGCGAAAAAGCGTACAAGGCGGAATACTTAAATATTTTGAATCGAAAGAAAATCAAGATAAACTGACAGTTCTATCAGTGACTGGATTAAACAAAGCGTTATCTCGTTTTGTCGAGAAAAATGATAGCGATGCTTTCAAAGATATTATTCAGTAAGATTTTCCATACAACAACTATTTATAACATAAATTTAATCTATAAACAAATAACTTAATTCAATTATACTTGTCCAGCCATCAGATGTCGAAAACTGTCGAGTACTTACAAACGAAACCTGTGGATACGCCAGAAAAAATAAAAAAAGAAATAAAAGTGTTTCAAAAGGAAAGACGCGACAGAGAGGAAGAAGAAGCACTTGATGTGAGTTTGGTAAAGAAACAAATTACTGAAAAATGAATTTCAATAACCCTAACAGTATATATTCTCTCTTTACTACATTACAAAACAGGCGGATCTAATGTTTGAAAGTACACAACGAAAGTTCGAAACTGTGGATATCGAAAAAAATAATGCTATTGTACTAAGCGACGATGATGCAGAACATAATCACGATGATGAAGCAACTGGTAAGGGAAATAAAACCAGAAAAGCATCCACCAGAGGGGCAGTAAGAGGCCGCGGTGGAGGTCGAGGTCGAGGGAAAAATGCTGAACGTATGAAAAATCCTCTAGACATAACAATTACATCTCCTACTTCCTCGTCACCAAAGACTGCCAGAAATGTATCATCGAGAAAGGTAGGGGTATGTAGTAACGCATTAAAATATTTTTTTATGTGTTAAATTTTTATGTTATTGCAACTTATTTTAGGCTCGAGGAAATATACAACAGTTTTGTCAACCTTCGACCAGTCTGAGACATGGTAATATATCGGAAGATACGGATTAGCGTAACCATCTATTAATACTATTTACCGAGTGTTAAAAAGTTAATTTAATATTTTGCTATTACTGTTTATACAATTCATCTCTAATAAACCAAAATGAGAAATAGAACGTTTAACAGTTAAAAATAAAATATAAATATTTTACTATGATATTTCGAATACATTATATTTATACCTTTCATTTTATTTTTTTAATCTAGTGAAACATTTTTATTTCTTTATAATCGAGATTTTAGAATTGCCACTAATGCCCATTTCTTCCGACGTTAATCGAAGTTTAAATTCTGGTTACCCTATCTTAAAACTATATTTAAAAAATTGAACTAGGCTTAAATCACGTCGGAGGAAACGGGCTTAAGTTGATTATCCGTTACCAACCTATGTAATGTTTCACTTGTGCACCGCTTGAGGGCGTATTTCATATAAAATTTAAATATTTATATTATTGCACTAAAACAATTGTTGATTTTCAATCATTCAGCCAAAAAAGAAGTAGTAAACCGATTAACTAATATACTGCAGTATTCTATCTCAAGATTTTTACCTAAACTCAGCATCTGATATAAAATATTTTAATCTCATAGAGTGCGCGCAGGAAGTGCTTTCTTTTTGAACTTCCTGTTTCGGACGGGCTGTACGCAAAGATCTTTAGTAGGTACTATTTTACGATATTTACGTATAAACCAATATATCCGTATTAAAAATAATGTGTCCATATCATGCTGTTGAGAAGCGAGAATACTTTTCGTGAGAAATATATCCTTTCGACTTTCTAATATGAAGATGTTAGTGGATTAATATTTGACGACGTGAGGTGACTCGCGCTTTGCCGACACGGCTGTCATGGATAACAGAATAATACGCGGTTGAACTTGCTGTACAGCATCTTGTGTACACTGTATTAATTTATAAAAGACAACTATATAAACGTGAGTATTTTTGGTTAGTTATTTTCACGTTATTGTTCCTTTTAGTGAAAAATGGCACCTAAAAGAGGAAAGGTACAGAAAGAAGAAGTCCAGGTCTCCCTTGGTCCTCAGGTCCGTGAAGGTGAAATTGTATTTGGAGTAGCACACATTTTTGCCAGCTTCAACGACACTTTCGTTCATGTGACTGATTTATCGGGCAGGTACATACTAGAAATAATTATGCACACATAAATGGTATGACATAACCTATATTATGAACGTAACAAATTTAAGGTTATGCATGCTACTTGTTACAGGGAAACCATTGCTCGTGTCACTGGAGGCATGAAGGTGAAGGCTGATCGTGATGAGGCTTCACCGTATGCTGCTATGTTGGCTGCTCAGGTATTTCATTTTTTCTTAACATAACATTTGAAATGTATATGATCTTATATGCTGGTGCATAATATTCAACATTATTTATAATTTTGTTTGATGTATTAACATCCAAACACCACATTCAGGCAGTACCCAAGATTTTCTTTAGAAACTTATCTTAGGGTGCGTTCAGAATTGTGGAAAAGTGAATGATCCTTTTAACTTTGGGAATTTGTACTTATGACTTGTTCCTTTATACAAGAAGGATACACATGTTAAATTAAGCTACATAGGCTGTGGTGTCATATTGTTGTTGTTAAGGATAAAATCAATTTGTTTTTAACATTCTGTAGGATGTTGCTGAAAAATGCAAATCCCTTGGGATCACTGCTCTTCACATTAAATTGAGGGCCACTGGTGGTAACAAAACAAAAACTCCAGGACCTGGAGCACAATCTGCACTTCGTGCTCTTGCCCGTTCAAGCATGAAGATTGGCCGAATTGAAGATGTTACACCAATTCCCTCTGACTCTACGCGCAGGAAGGGAGGTCGCCGTGGTCGCAGGCTATAAATTAACACTATGGTACTGTGTATGGTTTATTACCTTACTCAAATAAACATCTAAAAACAATATAAATTTTTTCACTGTAATATCTTTTATCTGCTAAGATTACGAAAATAAATGAACAATTTAATAACTTTAAACGTTTATTTGTTTCGGTATAATACTATTATAAGTCAATATCAAAGCTTACTAACAAATCACGTTACTTATGATAGTGTGCTAGTGTTACTGGATGCATAAATTATAACAGATTACTGATTTCATACAAAGTTAAATAAAAAAGTGCATTGCAATATTTATTAAAAGACTTGTGACTCCACACTAATGCTTTGTAGGCTTTAATTACATTACTTTTACGGTCGAAAAAAAATTTACGCCGTACCAACGAGATTTCCCAAAGTCAGAAATAATTGAACATTTAATTCTGACTTCTGAGGGGCTTTATGTTCCAAAGTCGCTAGAGTATTCACGTAACCATGTCGCAAAACAAATCCTACTATTACAGGTTCTCCTTTGTTTTGCTCATTAGCGAATGGAGTCACATGTAAACGTACCACGATTTTATTTCCTTTGCGCCATACAACCACCCTGTAAACCAAATATATAAAACGTTTAAACGTTCATTAATGTACAGAATCATCTCCCTATAACACTTACTTTTTATCGTCTTGAAAATGACTAGCGTCATTAGTCTCATCATATTCAGCTGCATCATCTCGGGGTGGTAAAAATAAAGGACATTCAGGCAAAGCTATTTCAGCACCGGACACTACAGTAATCGGTTTAGGATCTTCCGTGACAGATATCTGTCGTACAGCCAATGGTAACAGATTCGGTGATTCACTTCCCTATATTTAGATTCCAAAATATTATTGACAATGCTGTATTATAACAATACAAATTATTTCTAAACGTTGTAATTCATACCATTTGTATATTTTCTCGCTTTAACTCTTGCTCTTCTCCAGATGCAGTTACAGTTGTAGGCGTTGTCGGAGTATCGAGTGGAAGAAGACTTATTTGAGTCTGATGTTGAGTTGGATTACAAATTTTTAGTAAAAGCTCACTAGCAACTCCAACACGTAGTGGTTCGCAAGTCACAATGCGAATCTCGGGCACATGGTAACTGAAATGATACTTTCTTGAATGATAAAGGATGGCGTCAATGTTTCAGAAAACTTACAACGCAGCAAGTTGAATTTTGAATTTAATAGACTGCGGACTGTACTCTGGTTTACTGACATTATGTTCACAACCGCGACATCGTTGCGAACGCTTCACTAAGAACTGTTTGTGCTGTGGACGCAACTCATTAATTTTCTCAGCCTGTACGTCAGGATGTTGTAAACGTTGTTCCAGTGTAGTAACTGCATTATAAAACAATAACTTAAATATACCATTTGTCTATTACGATTTAGAAAGTTACTTACTTTTGGTTATATCTACAGCTTCTGTAAATATTCCTGCTGGCAAGTCATCGACTTCTTCGTTTGCAACTGCTGGTGCAGGCTGATCAGAGTGCTGTATTAGAGACTTAGGTTCTAGCGGCTTCCCAGCACGTTTGCGTACCATGGCTGATGTTAAACCAAACTTTTCCTGTAAAATAATATTACACTGTATTACACTCTATAGGCTAGTCTAATTCATACATTTTTATTGTAGTGCTCACATATTGTAGAAATGTACGTTTCGTTGGAAACTTCTTACGCTGTTGTTCCTGCTTCTCTTTAGAAGCAAGAACTTTGTGAAAATCAATCAGTGTACTAATTCTTGTAGAATTAGGATTTTCTTGCTCAGGCCATCCTCCAGTAGCTAGAAATAAAATATTATTTACTATAATTATTTGTACGCAACAGTATAACTTTGAGTTCAAATTGCTATAAAATTAATTCTTAATAAAAAGAAAAATAATGGTATATGAATAAAAATTTAGTACAGTCTATTATATTAAAGTACGTCAATGGACATACCCACATATTGATCTGGAATTCCAGCATCCCTAGATGTCCAACGACATAAAGAGCAGGACAAGTAGTACACCTTTTTTGGAGTAGCCTTAACATCTTGTTTAGCATCTGCTGAGGAAGCAGGTGGCCTCAGAGGTGCTTGACCTGCTCGTGTACATAATGTTTGAAAGCAACAAGGGCAATCAAAACAATTGGAACACCTTAAATAATATAAAAACCATTTAGTTACACGTAGAATTACAATACCTTAAAAGATTGCATCTGAAACATTCTAACTTACTTGTTCTTCTTAAGTCGTACTTCTGCTGATGGCAAGTTTTCCATACAGTTAGGACAGTAATGTGAATCAGCCTGTTTAAAAGTATCATACGGTAAAGTTCTTAGAAATTATAGTCGGTTAAATACATAAATATTTTTTCAAGAAGGGTTAAATTACGTAATAACCATTACAAATATGTAAAAAAATATTCATAAAATTACCTCATGACAGACACAGTAACCACACCGAATTTTCAAGCAATGACGGCAGAAATACATTTTTGAGATGGGTTTTAAAGATCCGCAACTACATACGTAGCGCACATAATCAGGCTGAAATAAGTACGCCATACTGTATAACGTATCACATGCACTACAATTAGTTAACTCCTGTCAATAAGAGTTTGACATTTCATTCCAGATAGAAGTACGTAGCCATTTTCGTGAAAGGCAGACCAACAGTTTATCCGTTTCCGCTCATGAAACAGAGCCATCTAGTGGATATGCGTATATTCATTGAGTCAGGCAGACTCCATTGATGTCATCCGTAGCGAATATTACAAAAGTATTATGTATAAAAACTTGAATTTACAATAATGACTGAGCACATACTGCTAAAGAGAATGCCGTCACATGGAAGAAGTCTCCAGCAGTAACTAGACACTGTAAATATTGAGGATAGTAGAAATAGATACCGATAACTGCTAATATAGCAGAAATAGTTTTTCTTTTTTGATACCCCAATATATAGAAAAAAACACTATTAACAACTAGGAATAATTCACATTAAATTTCGCTTCAGTAGCCAAATTTTGCTTTTATTATTATAACACAGTAGCACCACAAAATATCATTATAAAAGCAGTCATTACGTATCAGTTCTTAAAATAAATGCCATATTATGCCATTGGTTGTTTTGCATTCTCTAGTGCCCGATTTTCTTCCGTGAGCAATGTCACCTTTTCTTCGTACTTCCCACGAAGATCTTGGAAAAGTCGTAATTGCGTCTCATACTCCTTTTTCAAGTCAGCATTAAGTCGTACTGCAGCATCCATTTTATTAATCATATCATTATGTCGATCACGTTCAGCTGTGATTTTAGCTTCCATAGTGTCCACGTCATTCTGAAAAGACATTTACATTTTTACTGAATATAAACTAACAATAGATTTTCCGCACATGCTAAATATGTTAGATAGCATAAAAATACTGACCTGCAAATGTTTAACTTCCATGTTACGGATGTTTAACAGCTGCTTTGTGATCGCTACAACTTCCTTCAGGGACGATGTCTGCTTAGTAAGAGCATTTATTTGATTTTCCTGATTGGCAACCATACGATTGCGTTCTTCTAATTTCAGCTGCGTCTGAGTAAGCATATTTTTTAGATCCTCCTTTTCGCGACGCAATTTAATTTCGTCGCCTTCGCCATTGGCCACGGCATTATACGACGCTTGTAAGGCATCCAACTTCTTTTCGGTGTCCATCAATTTTTGTTGATAATTATCCCTCTCATAAGTTCTTTTCTATTGTCAAAGCATATTGACTTAGTTAAATAATTTTTACCAATCGGTTTTTAAATAGAATTCTCATAATTTCATATTATTTCACTTGAAACTTTCAGTGAAGGCAGGGTTGATTTGAATTTACCTGAATTTCTTGTTCCAATTTAGATATTTCGGTTTGGTTGTTATTACTTGATTCCGTAGAATTTTCATTGGAATTCGCATCCTACACGGAATAATGTAAAATAGTGAATATTGTAAAAAGTGTACAATCATTCTATCATAAAGCGACAGTTGAATACGTATTAAAAATTATTCTCACTTCTGTGGGTTCTTTAACGTCTGTAACTTTTTTTATCAATATTACAGATTCTGCTTCGGATGTCGGTGCAGCGACAGGAGCGACGTGTGCTGGACTTGCAGCTTCAGTCGGACAAGAATCTCCAGCAGCTTTATTAGTAGTTTCATCGGCTCCATCCATTTTTAATTCTATAGCCAAAATAGAGAATTATGTCCGAATAAATAGGAGGCTCTCTTGATAAGTACAGAGCCGTATAATAACAAGAAAAATGTTGACCACGTGAAATTGAAGTCCTGATAACATAAAGGTGTTATAAGTCATCATACTGGAGCAGATGAAAAGCATATTTGTGTAATTTCATTTATTATGCAGAATCTGTATCTTGTTTTTTACATCATAACAGCGTGTACTAATGACATGTGCTGTATTTTAAATTTCTACATGGTGCTTCATTTTTACTTCATCAAATGACTCACTTAAATTTCATACATGCACTTTGAAATATGCATTTTATAAATAATTCATTTATGCTTTATCAAATCTGTTTCTACCATGTTAGTATGTATATGTATATACATATATATATACATTACATAAATAATACATTACAGTATTTTCTGTTACATTTAACAGTGAAAAATTAATCATACCGGGTAGTTTTTTTCGTCCTACGACTACTTTGATTTAAATTACTGCAAAATGTAGGTTTAAATTTTAGTCAGCAATTGGAGCTATTTACCCTTCCACATCTTTATCTGAACATATCAAAGCAGTCGAACCATATAAGCTGAAAATATGTAGTTTAATGCACTTACGTTCAAAGTGACGGGATCACGAAGACTAACCAGTAGCGGGATGTATTTTTGGAAACCTTCGAACGTTTTAATTTAGAACATTTGCAGCTGCGCATTAGCTTTTCTTTACATACGTACGATACAACTTATTGAGTGGGCATGAGACAAATGAACTATTCTATGGGTTTGTTAATAGATCTATCTATATTTTTATTATGATGTCATACTCAATAAAGTTATTGATTACAATCATTATATTCTGTTAAAAAGTTATGAATGCGTAGCGTAGATAAAAAGTAACCACATTCATATCTGTGGGTTTTTAGCACGTGTCCGATCAAAACAAATGCTTGAAAAAGCCAAAAGATCCATAGGACCTGAAAGGTTGCATAAATTTGAACGATATCATTATGCATCTTGTTTCAAATAATCAAACGTATCAATTTGATCTTTAAAAATTGCTCACTGTAAAGTTATCGGTGGCACGAAGTTTACTAACGTAGTTAGTTCTTCAGCGCAGACGTCCTAACACGAGTGATTCGCTTTTCTAACAAGCGAATCTTTTCCATTATATTTTACGGTAATTATAAAAAAAATGTATTTGATTATGTTACTAATCTTATTAGGATTATATTTCAAACAATTTCTAAGTGTGTTATATATATATCTTAATAGTTGTCGATCTTGATGTCATCACCTTAACCTAACTTTTTTGATTCATAACCTTACAACTTTAACAAAAATTTTCGGTTTCAGAAACATAAGTTATGGAGGAATATGCCAGAGAACCATGCCCTTGGAGGATAGTGGATGATTGTGGTGGTGCCTTTACAATGGGTGCCATAGGAGGTGCTGTTTTCCAAAGTATTAAAGGCTTTCGTAATGCACCTAGTGGAATAAATAAACGTCTCCTGGGCAGCTTAACGGCTATAAAACAGCGGTCACCTATAATCGCTGGAAATTTTGCTGTTTGGGGAGGCATGTTTTCGACGATTGACTGCACTCTTGTACACTTCAGACGCAAGGAAGATCCATGGAATTCCATTATCAGTGGAGCAGCTACAGGAGGTATTCTCGCAGCGAGAAATGGTCTTCCAGCAATGGCAGGCAGTGCAATAATTGGTGGAGTGTTATTAGCACTAATCGAAGGTGTTGGAATACTTTTCACTCGACTTTCTGCAGAACAATTTAAACCACCTACTCTCGTTGATGATCCATCACAGCTTGGGCCACCACCTCAAGGCTATCCATCATAATATATATTTTAGATTTGTCGTGAAATAGAATCTAATATTTGAGAAAAAACGATTCTTGTGGTTTGTAAAATAAAATAGTACTCGTCAACTAATTTCTTTTGACAGAATAATAAATTTGTATAGAATAGATGCTACTTAAGTTAAGGTACAAAAATAATAGATTTATTTCCATTTCTACTTGGTACAGTTTATTTTTTCACCAAACTTATTCAATAAATTATCTTGTAATCATCACATTATAAGAGAAAGCAATTACGCTTTAATTGAAAAAATATTGTTAGTCTCAAACCTATTAGTCATCTTCATCTTCTTCTACTTCCTCTTCAGGACTTAAAGTTGATGAAGGTATAGTAAGGTCCAGTTCTTTAAGTATATTTTCTATAGAATCATTTTCATTATTTGAAAGACATTTGGAGTTTGTATGTGTAGTACTTGCAGCAGGTGTACTAGTTGTCTCAGTATTCATACGGTTTAATAAATGAAGTTGTTCTACCTGTAATTTCAATATTTTAAATGTCATTAAAAAAATAGGTTTCCAAAAAGTTAATAATATTTATGCTTCTTTCACCTGGAGAGCATGTAATTGCTTATCGATTTTCGACAACGTGCGAATGATGAAATCTTCTTCACGCTGAAGCTGTCTTTGATTCGCTAACAATTCTGGTATAGACTCTGTATTATTATCCATTATCAATTAAGTAACAAGTTACATTATAAACAGATTGACACCTTTTAGGTTATATTTAAGGAGTACATAACATTGAAGGCGCGATGGAAGAATCGAAGTTGCACGATTTGCCGAAGCGCATGCTTACCACGCCGGACCCTGGTACGGCGAGGGGATTGAGGGAGACCGAAGGAATGCCGAGCTTCCTTCCTTTTTTTCCTTTATCGCTGTCTCCAATGGGAGGAATGCCAAGTTCGCGTTAATGGGTTTTCATAAGAAAATGTAAGTGAATAATCATACAGAATTATCAATTGCAGGCCCTGTTAATATTCAACTTTGTAAATTCGTTGACGTAATATTATTATATTCAATATGCAGAAACGAAAAATAATATTGAAACTGTCGGAAAGGCATCAATGATGGTCAGTGTATGTACGTGTGCGCCCGCGGTGCTATGTCATCGACAAATCGCCGATATTTCTATCGTAATAAACATATTTATACATCTATAAACAGATGCAATAGCCGCATGCATCGATTTAAGCGTAACTAATAATTGTTCCAATTTCTCTCTTTGCTTTTCCTTCGAAAAATGATTTAGAGCGATTTCCCCATGAGGGAAAAGTCTTAGTGACAACCAAGTGAAGAAGATTAAAGTAAATTACGCTCATACTGAAATATTAATAAATTAAATGTTTGGAATATTAAAATATTTCATTACATCAATAAAGTTAGATATTAATACTTTAAAATCAGAAATCCTGGCCAAGAATATTTAGAAGTGCTGGAAGTTGCCCAAAATTGTGTGCGCGCAAATTTTTGCGCGGTAGTCTCGGCGAGTGGGAGGAGCGCTTAAGACAGGGTCCGGACTCTTTTTCTTTTTTTCCTATTTTTTTTCGCTCGGCTAAACTAGTCATTTTATATTCAGCATTATTGCTGCCACAGTAGCTGACTGCATCTGAGGATACATAGTTATGAGTTTCGTTTCCTCCTTAATCCATGATAATATTATTCGTCATTAATTTGCAATAAGTAATAATACCTCTGTCAGAGAAAAGATTGATCAAAGGAAAATAATGGACCATAAATACTTGTTTCTTGAAATATTCTGTTTCTTAAAATTATATTAACGATTGGTGGGATAATATTTCAAGTTTGAATGTCCCTAATGATAACAACCAAGTAACAATACAGATATCGTCGGAAAAATATCTAAATATTAGGAAAAAAAAGCCGGATTCACTAATTTGAATTTTCATTATGATTCAATTTATATCATCTGCGCTTCATAAAGAATAACGCATTATAATACAACGAATTTGGTGGTGGAATATCACAGAATCATATCAATTTTGGCATAACATGATAAAAATGGTGGAATCAGTTGTTCGTTGGCAAACTTATAGAAATAGTTTTGATTTCCAGAAACTCATCAAGAGAATTGGTACCCCTGAAAGAAAAAAATTTACATAAATAATTCTCATTGAATTTCGTTTAATATGGGAAGAAAATACTAACAATTCTCGTCCAAAGCCAGATTGCTTGTAACCGCCAAATGGTAAATGTGGTGCCGGAAGTACCCATTGGTTGATGCTGTTGAACATATTATGCATATTGGATAAAAAACATTCTTCAATTAAACTGAAGTAATTGCTTAAAACAAAATTTCGAAAATTCACTTACCCAACTGATCCAGCCTCAATGGCTTTAGCAAATTCCAAAGCCTTAGTAATATCGTTAGTAAAGACACCAGATGCTAAACCATACTTTGTATTATTTGCTCTTTGAACAACTTCCTCAAAAGTTTCAAATTTCAAGATACACGTGACCGGGCCAAAAATCTAAAATAGTTTAGATTGACTGAGTTAAACAATCAATATGAGTCAGATATCTCTTTTTGTTATTAATACTTGTGTATGAACTTACTTCTTCTTTAGCGATCTTCATGTCATCCGTAACATTACTGAAAATAGTTGGCTGTATAAAATAACCGTCAGTTCCATGTCGACTTCCGCCACATTCCAATTTTGCTCCTTCCTTGATTCCGGATTCGATATAAGCGAGTACTTTTTTGAATTGCAATTCACTGATCTATAACACATATAATAATTTTAAGTGCCATGTTTGGTTAAATAAGTAACAATTAAAAGTACATACAAGTCAATTGTTCTTACCTGCGGCCCTTGAAACACATCAGGTTCGAAAGCACCACCAATTTTTACTGTTTTTGCAAATGCAACTGCCTTTTCAATAAATTTGTCATGTACTGATGATTGCACAAAAATACGAGTGGGCGCGATGCAAGTTTGTCCTGCATTTAAGAAGACACCATGACAAGTATAGCCTACAGCCTTATCCACTGGAAAAAGTGACATTATTATAAGTTTCTCGGCTTTTTATCATATCTTCATTACAATATAGGCACATTTAAATTATCCTTACAATCGGCATCGTCGAAAACAACAAGAGGACTTTTTCCTCCTAGCTCCAATGTGACACGCTTCAATGTAGTCCTTCCAGCAGCCTCAAGAATTTTGTGTCCGACCTAAAGCATTTAATTTTTATTATATACATTCTGGCGAATATTAAAAAATTGTTTACGTTCCAAAAGTAATACTTACAACTGTAGATCCAGTGAAGGCCAGTTTTCTGACGTCACTGTGCTCAGCAAGAGCATTACCAGCAGTGGCACCGTATCCGGGTACAATATTTACAACTCCCTTGGGGAAGCCAGCTTCTTGAATAAGAGTGCCAATATAAAGAGCAGACAAGGGTGTCAGTTCGGCTGGTTTAAGTACTAAAGTGCAACCAGCTGCCAATGCTGGTGCAAGTTTCATGGCCAAAAGAATAAATGGATAATTCCATGGGATAATAGCACCGACTATACCAAGAGGTTCTTTCCTGGTGAATCCAAGTTCATTTTCATCTGTAACGTACGAAATAACGTTTAGAAATTTTCTTATGCATCATTATATTTGAGTGGATATAATCACGCACCAGTAGGCATCGTTTGTCCTCCAACTTTATCGGCCAGTCCCGCATAGTACTTAAATATTTTGATACTTCCGTAGACTTCTTGAAAACTATTAGAGAATGGCTTGCCGTTGTCAATAGACTCCAAGCTAGCAATCTGATTAATATCTCTTCCGATAAGATCAGCGAGCTAGATGTAACGGATATAGTTAGTTATGCTATAAATAGTAAAGTTTACTTCTGTTATGCTTCTGATAAAATTGGGCCTAACCCTTATTAATAATTCTCCACGGGCGCTGGCAGTCAACCGCCTCCATTCGGATCCTCTTGCAAATGCTGCTTTAGCCGCAGCCACCGCCTTATCTATGTCAGCCTTATGAAAGATTAAACCCGTTATTATTATTCCAGTTCTCCAATGATTTAAATAACTTTCGGAATGGCTGAACTAGCCATTTTTAAGTACTAATTTACATTCAGAATATTTAAGTTACCTTATCACCTTCCGCCACTTCCACAATGACTTTCTCAGTTGCAGGATTGATAGTAGGTAATTTACGACCGCTTACAGCATCAACCCATTCGTTGTTAATGAACAGCTAGAAAGGAATAACTCATGTTATGATAAAATGAAATATATTCTGTTTTATCATATACGATGAAATGGTAATAACATTGGAATATCATTTATGATAAAGTTGATATCGAATATGGTAAGACTTACGTCTTATTAGGACCGAGTTCTACGAAAAGAAATCGGCCGAAACCGACGATACACGTATTAATGCCAGTCATTGTACAAAAATTTCACAAAAAATACATTTGTCATATATTTGACCTTTTTTATTTAAATAACTTCCCATTCGTATAAATTCGTTTACATATTATAATTAAGTTTATTTTCCTTCTGAAAAATAGATATACTTTTTGGAACGAACAGAAAACCCACCAAAGTAGCCTTGTAGAGAAGAATCTACAGATTAAAAAATACGCCGACCTTTTTTTCATTAAAATAATAATATAAGAAATATCGTTAAAAAACGAAAAAGTAATTTTTAACCTTATTTCGTACCTTTTTGTCTTTTTTTGTAATTAAAGTTTTACAGAATAAACATATCGTATTTGTGCTTGCATATTCTTACTACTAGTTACTTTGGAAGGCATTCTTTCTCGCCAATGTATTGCCTATAAAAGCTGCTATAGGAACAATATAAATTTTTGTGAAACTTGACAGAATGTAGTAACCCTGATGACTGAATTTATAATTATTTTGCTGCCTAAAGTCTTTTATCTATCTAAGCTAAGTATTAGATTACTTACTAATATTAGTCATAAGTGATACAAATTTCAAATAGTTTGCAGTATTGCCTACTAACCTTCGTATACTTAATAGTCGGATTAGGATCAGGTTTAGCCTCTAGCATTTTTACAATTATTTGTTCACACGTTTTGACTCGAACCGTACTAAACCGTTTCTCCGAGTGAACTGCCAGACTTGATAGAGAGGGGGTTCCATATATATAACTCTGGTAGACCCCTCTTCTGTTTTTAGGCTCGGCCGTATGGAGCATTCATTCAATGTATCAATATGACGTATGCGTATAGGCATAATATAAAAAATGTTTATTCAATGTTGATGCTGAACTGATCGACTTAAAATTTATACTAAAATTAAATTTTCCTTATAGATGGTGTAGTAAGTTTCAAAAACGTCCTGAAACGTAGACCGTGGCTAAGTACGGATCGACCGGCATCCCCACTCCAGGGCATCGTTGACGCTCATTGTGAAATAATGTTTGCAGATGTTCAACAGTTCCCATTTCAAAGAGGCGCATGCGCAAAGATCTAAAGTATTGAAAATTTCTCCAACAGAATATAAATCCTGTTCATATAAGATGCCTAAAAGACACTTTAGACATCTATTTGGACAGTATGTACTTTCTGAGTTAGATATATGTATATATAATTAAATGTAAATATGTATGTAAATCAAGTACTTTCAGTTTAAACGTTCAGCATACGTAGAATTAATTTCTGTTCAGGAAATTAATTTTTGTTTTCAACGACAAATACGACACGTAATACTAGCGGTCGGGCCTTTAAGTGAAACTGTTTGCCTCGTTAATTCTTCCAACTTACGCGATCAAGAATAATTGTTGTAATCAAGAGTATTTCGATTGATCTGTACATATTGTCACGAAATTTTCTTGAGAGATGAAATTTAATTGATGAGTACAGATATTTATTGATTGCCCTATTACTATTTTCAGTTATGCCCACTTAAAGAACTCGCTATATACATATGTTATAGAAAAACATTAATCTTAGGCGGTAAGAAATAACGTGACGTGTAATCTTCTTTTATAATGCAATTATGCCAGAGACTAAAAATAAGTTTGTAAATATAATGCATACAAGGAAAGTATAAAGCCCATAATGAAAGCCTTTACTTGTGTTACTTTGTGCACGGATGATTACTTATCATAAATAATATCAATTTTTGCTTCACTGCTTATCTTTGCGTTAGACCTCATAACAGCATCTTAACACTGTATTAACACTTGAATAGAAACAGATATGAGTTAAAATCGATGGTGAACGAAACTACTTCAATTCATATTTAAATTGGAGTTCATAGCGGAGAAATGACCTATGACATTAACGAATATATTACTATGGTAAAATAATAATAATATATTATCATTATATATTATTGTGATAAACACTTGTCAATGTATAACGTATCCGGGACTATTATCTGATGTTGTTTCTATCATACACATCAATTACTCAACTTTATTCCAGTAGATTTCAATACCTTTATCCTTTTCACTTATTTCCTTGTAGCTGCCATTTCCAATGAAAAGATATGCCAGCCTATGTCTTTCTTTTCCTTTCAGCTTCATCCTGCTTCATCCTCACATGAGGATAGCTATTGCTTATAACTATGCCAGGAATGGTATAGGTACATACATAGTTGTATAGTTGAGATCACCATACACCGGCCGTAAAGGTTGGAATATTTGCGCCGCGAGTTGCATCAATTGGCACTACCAATTATGACCCAAGAGTCGGACAGTCTCTCACCTCCACGTAAACTTATGTCTTCTTTCTAGTTGTATGTATACACCTCCCGATTTCATTTTTGGGACAGCTATATTTAGTTACGTTATCAGTAGCGTGTGTATTCCAGCATGTGCTACTATACATAATTAATTTGTACACTCAGCGTCATTAATGCTTGAACTTACCGATTGAGTTTTCCCATTTATATTACATGAATGGCACAAAGGCAAAAATAGACTTATAACGAATAATGAGTAGGCATTCTTTTGAACGATAAATATGTTTGTGCTGCGACAAGCTCACGCCGCAATCAGTGAACCAAGAAACTGATAATAACAAGATAATTCAAGACTGATGTAACTACACTGTGAACCAGCAGCTGCTTTTGTGAATCCTTACTTATCTCTAAATTTGTGAAAAAATGGCGGACCCAAAACCGATTATTAAATACACGCAAGTATGTATCGAAATACTACAGTTCTGGAATTTGCTGTGTATATTAGTTAACCACGTCTTATACTTGAACGTGATAAGAACTTAACCTGTACATGCATAATAACTAACGTCAGTATGTACATATAAAGCAAGGATAGAAAATATAGTTAAATAACATAACACCATAGCTTTAAAAAATAACATACTGATTCTAATAAATGTATTATTATTCTTCATCTTATAAATTATTGTAGTAATACTAATCGTTAGAGACGTTGCTTGTTAATTATTTTAATTTAGATTTCACTTTGTAACGCTACTATGTATCTAGCAGAATAATTTTAAATTATTACAATAATATTTAACAATGTAGCGCTCTTATATTAGAAAAAATGAAATATTCATTCCAAACTATTGCATCTTAAAATCCACTTTTTCCATGCTAAGAAAAGGCCACTTGGTTGTATATTATAGTGAAAATTAAAGTGATGCATAAGCTATTAGGCTTTTTAATTAGCCGGTAATTGAATTCGACAAAAACTGCATTTATGGCAGTCAAAATTATGCCGCCGAGGTCACAATCTCGAACACAGTCAGTTACTGGGCCGTTTATCCTATATGTAGTTATAATTCCCCAATTATTATCGTAACGTTGATATAGCAACGCTGTTACATTCACGTTATATTTGCAAGACAAAATCACACACGCAGGTTAACTATGTAATATTATGTTTGCTGAGATAGCATTTGTAATTTTTCAAGAAATACATCCTATATACATAATTTAAAAAAAACGTTTCACGTATCAGCGTCACCTTGCAAGAAGTCATTTCTTTACTTTTCTATATATTTCTTATCTTTCTAAAAAGAAGGAGAACGATCTTCGATTGGAGTACTCACGATTAGAACTCAAAAAACAGTTATATCGAGATTACATACAATATATTGTATTATATGGCAGCTACGTTAAAGTTATATAAATACAACAAATTGGTTTGCTAGGACATGCATATTTAAAAGCGTTTAGCGGAAAATACATTTTACTGCATTATTCATTCTCGCAAGATAATATAAGCTTAAAATATGTCTCTTATCTCAAATATGTATAGCTTATATGTCGATAGATATCATTTAAAAAAAATGCCGCTATGATATTTAAAAAATGTAAATTATGTGAAATTTAATCTTTTCTCTACAGCTATTTATCAATAATGAATTTGTCGATGCAGTAAGTGGACGGAAATTTCCGACTAAAAATCCTGCAACAGGTGCTACAATTGTAGAGGTATCTGAAGGGGACAAGGTAAAGTACATAGTTATAAACCCAATAAAGGCTTAGTATCTATTAAGAGAAACATTAGCAATATTAGAATTTCCTACTGAATAATGTAAAAATTCTCAAAAATTTGATCTGCATAACTTTTACGTCCCTGAGTATGATATTGTAATATTGCTGATATGTTCGTTACTGCGTGTTTATTGAGAAGTATGAGAAATTCTATTGAATAATTTATGATAAAAATAATTATGAACATTAACTACATGAACGATAGGCTGATGTGGATAAAGCAGTTGCAGCGGCAACCCAAGCTTTTACGAGAGGATCACAATGGCGGAATTTAGATGCATCAGCTCGTGCTGTCTTGATGCACAAGGTATATATCCAAATCTCTGAGAGTAAACAATTTATAATTGTCAAGACACTGTTTTATTAACTTCTTAAATATTCCTTTATTCACAGTTTGCCGATCTGCTTGACCGCGACAAAGAATACATTGCCAATATTGAAACTATTGACAATGGAAAAGTTTATGAAAGCTCCTTGTTTGATGTTCAATGCAGCATAGAATGCATACGTTATTATGCCGGCTGGTGCGACAAAATACATGGACACACTATTCCCAGTGGTAACGTTGTTTCCAGATTATTGGATTATTACAGAATTTATGAAATTTACAGTCCAGTGTTTTCACACTAGTTTTACATCTTCCAATTTACCTGTGATGTTACCACTTCAGATGGAAACAGTTTTACGTTAACACGCAAAGAACCAATTGGTGTCGTTGGTCAAATTATTCCATGGAATTATCCTCTTATGATGCTTGCTTGGAAATGGGGTCCTGCTCTTGCTGCTGGATGCACAATTATTTTAAAGCCAGCGGAACAAACTCCATTGAGTGCACTTTATGCGGCAGCTCTCACCAAAGAAGCTGGATTTCCGTCCGGTGTTATTAACGTGATTCCTGGATACGGTCCTACGGCCGGTGCTGCTATTGCAGAACATCCTGATATCAATAAAGTGGCATTTACTGGATCTACAGAAGTATGAATTAAAATACAATACTTAATATCAAGTTTTGTTAGATAGGGAAAATATCAATGATCTTTATACCTTTACGTATTATTTGTTGATGCAGATAGGACATGGAATTCTGAGAGCTTCTGCGGATAGTAACTTGAAACGGGTCAGCTTGGAACTTGGCGGAAAGAGTCCTCTTGTTATCTTCGACGACGCTGACCGTATGTTAATCAATTTTAATTTTTCATATTACTTGAGATCACGTAATTCATTTGATGACATTCCTTTTGCATTCAGTTAAGGAAGCTGCTCAAATCGCACATGACGCAATTTTTGCGAATCATGGACAGAATTGCTGCGCTGGTTCCCGTACTTTCGTGCAATCCACAATCTATGACGAGTTTGTTAAAGAAGCCAAGCGTTTAGCACTTGAAAGAAAAGTCGGTGACCCTTTTGATCCTAAGATGCAGCAAGGACCGCAAATTGATCAAGCAATGTTTGATAAAGTCATTGGTTTGATTGAGTCTGGTAAGAAGGAAGGAGCTGTTGCAGAAGCTGGTGGTGAGCGTGAAGGAAATATTGGATATTTTATTAAGGTGAGTTGAGAAAAATTGTTTTTGAATTTAATTAATAATTATTTCATTTTCGTTTTCAATGCTGTTTCAGCCAACGGTGTTTTCTAATGTCACCGATAATATGAGAATAGCCAAGGAGGAAATATTTGGACCGGTACAATCAATTTTAAAATTTGATACTCTCGATGAAGTTATCGAACGTGCTAACAGGACCAACTACGGCCTTGCTTCTGGTGTGATAACTAAAGATATCAATAAAGCTCTTACGTTTGCTCAAGCTATACATGCTGGAAGTGTCTGGTATTTAAATTAATTTAATCTTACATAAATGAATATTTCATATCAAGCTTGAAAACCTACATGATGATTGATTATGATTTTAGGGTGAATTGTTATGACGCTATAACTCCTCAGACACCCTTTGGAGGATACAAGAAATCAGGAATCGGTCGTGAACTGTAAGTAAACTATTTGTATCTTACGTGCGCTTATTTTCGGCAAGAATTATAACGTTAATTCATATGTTGCTTGTAGTGGTGAGGAAGGACTTAAGGAGTACCTGGAAGTTAAGACAATCTCTGTGAAGGTTCCCACAAAGAACTAAATGTGTTATCAAACGATCATTACGTTTATATTTCTTCTATAGTCATCTAAGTTTTCTTATAATGTTGTTACACACCTAAATATTTCATTCGAATGGTGTCCTATGATTCTAACAATTGAAGAATATTTGTATGTATAATATATATCCTTTGTTTCAATTAAAATCATTAAAAATGTAATAAATGACGTTTACTGTCTACATCATAATAAATATAATTTTATACTCTAATCACTATCACTGTCATATTTGAACATTATGAATAAAGAAAATTTAATTCTACAAGATTGATTGAGATAACTGAACAATTAAAAGAGAGAAGCAAGTATCTTAATGAAGTGATATATTTATTAACATAATATACAGAAGGTTCAAGTCATTCTAGAATTAGACTACGATTCCCGGTCTTGTATAGAGGAGTGTGTACACTGAATTGCAAGTACATACATTATTATAAATTATGAAAACAAGTGGTTGCTGGCTGCAATATTTCACTGTAGACTTGAAATATTATACCTCTTTGTTGTACAAGGATTCTTTAAATTATCTATAGCTACCATAAAAGCAGATCAACAATCCTCATCTTCTGGAGGAATACCCAATTCTTCGTCAGTCCACTCTTCTGGTACAGGATATGGAAACTCTCCCTGAGTTTTGACATAATGAAATGTTATATTGATTTCACACATTTCAACCCATGAAACAATGTCAAATGTATTGGATCATGTTAAACATTGATTAATTTTACTTACCACAATATGACCAAAATCATGATAAAGGTGGTACAAAATCCACCACCACGTTAGTCCACCCAAAAACTCAGCTGCAAGAACTATTCCTCTCTTAGGTGGAAGGCCGACACGGTACGACCATCTAATAAAAGATATACAGATAGTATTATTTTTGATATCCTAATATGTAACTTTGCAAATGTGATCATAAGATTCCAAATATAATAATCAATGTATTATACAGTAATTAGAAACCAACAATTTTTGTAACTTTATAATTTTGAATAGTATATGTTCCTCTACTTAAAACAAGATATATCACTTACAATGTTCGGACATGCAGTTTGTATTTTTGTATCTAAATACTTGTTAGAATGATTTAGTTTTCTATGAAAATTTTTTAAAGAAACATCAGATTAAACAGTCCTATGTAGAAAATGGATATTTCTATCCCAAGTATTACATTAAAAATAACTTTTATGTGATAATTCAATCAACAAAAAAGAGCGTAATTAAAGAACCTATATAGCATAAACTTGAATGCTGTCTTTTTATTGACTACGTAAGAGTCAAAAACTTCTCATTAAGACACCAAGCAATTTTATTTTGACATAACCTATTATACCAGAAAGTATTACGTAATGACTATCTTACCCATGCGAATGTCGTATTTGTACAGTATTTTTGGCAACATTATTACAAACTGTATACCGTGATACGGCCCTTAAAATGTTCAGACCTCGAGATGCCAACATTTTTACAAATAGTTCTTTCTACAATCGCGAACCCCAAGAAGGGAGATATATCCGAGACCAGCTGTGACACCACGCGCCGGAAATATTGAAGCGGTGTATTCAACAAATCAGATTGCCAGCTGGTAACAAAGATGTTGGTAAGGAGAAAAACTCCTTTACTGACAATCTATCATATGTATTTAGTTCTTTGATTGCAAAAACACAAATGTAGAGAAAATAGAATAGTTATCATTTTCTATTAGGCACGCTAACAAAAACTTAACCTGCGATAATATATGGAAGTAGAGTAGGTATACTCCTGGCGCTCTGAAACGCACTCTCGGATTTTGTTTCAAATCCTTGCTTGCACTGTGCATTACTATAAATGCATGTAAAAGCAGAAAAAAGAACGCATATGGCCTCTGTCGGCGCTTATGATTTATTCGACAGATCAGTTAATATAGTATTTGCTATAGATGGAATAAAATATATTTCATATTAGTATAAAAAGTGCTCTCTCTTAAAATGGAACAATTTTGAAATTTCATACTCGATGCTAGACGGGTAATAAAATTATGTAGGGACATCTAGCGGAATATATTTATACCTCTAATCGAAAAAATAGCATCTAACAGTACAAAACGCACTTCATCATATCCGGACGGTTTACATATTTCAATCGTGAAACTGTAACATAACGTATTTTCAGACCGTTCGTTGAGATCCATGCTCTCTTATTTTGTTTAAAATGCTGTGCACTTGTAATAGAATAGTCATTATGTGTGAGACGGGAGACAAACATGGGATGGAGACGTATGACATTCTTTTTCTTTGAATTTTCCAGTACACCTAGCCAGCTAACAAAGATACAGCTAACAAAGATATATGAGGAAGGATGAAAGCAAGTTCGTACAAAGTAAGTCTCGAAAAGTTAATAGTTCATATAAAAGGTGAAAAATAAGCATTCCCGCTTGTGGCATTGTAATACAGGATGACCGATCTAAGTACGGAGAAACGATAAAAATAAATTCGATCGCAACGACATCAGCGTTGTCGACTTATTTCAGAAATCACAGTTCAGTATTTTCTTATTCACAAGTATATTAGCTTCTTCGAGCATTTTGCATCACACACTATTCCCATATTTTATGTATTCATTAGGAAGCATCAAAGTAGTTAGATTTGTGTAAACATACGGATAAGCATCTGTAACTACATATATACTATAACAGTAAGAAATACAATAGCGTATTGTGAAATGCTTTTGATGAGACTCGTGTAACGCGTAATTATAATATATTATTAATACAATTATAAATTCGTGAAACAGAATTCCAAAGAGAAGATCACCAAACCTTATCTTACAAGAACACATGAAAAATATAGCCCAACTATAAATTTTGTTATTCAATAAATGATTTTTCCTGCAGACTCCAATCACAATTAATTACGAAAGAATCAAAGGAGAACATGGAACCTTCGATACCATTTCCCAACTATAAAAATAATAGAAATTAAAGATATACTCAGTTATTAGGTAATATTAATATGCCGACTACTGTTATCTTATTACACCAGCACAACCTGACGATCTATTTTACGAGATTAATTTAGGAGAGGCCAATATTTGATAGTGGTCGTAGAGGTGGGTATCCGACTGGGAATGTTCGCCATTACCGTGTAAACTTGGCTTCACGAGCGCTAGTCCGAAACGCGAATGCACCCTACGTTAAAGTAGCAAAAGCTGATCTCTCATTGGTTACTCCTCGCCTTACGACCCTTTCCCGAAGTACCAGGTTCCCGGTAGCAACCCTCTGACAATCTCACGTCATTGGTCCCAGGCCCATAGCCGCACCCCATCTCGCCTAATAAGATCTTTTATAAGAGCCCCCGGCCAGTATCCTTCGCCCGGGATACGAGACACCCTATGCCCTATAACCCATCCAACCCAACCTTAACCTATTGCGTTTTGTACTAAACTGCGAGAAGAAATATACGCGTACGCGATGGGGCTTCCGTGAGGCACCATACCGACAATAGACTTATATTGGCTTTTTTACGGGACGCGTGTATCAACGAGAAAACGTTCGAATGACCAACTTTTCTTCTTCCTCTTGTACGGAATCCTCTTCTTATTTTTCTCGCAGCTTCATACCCTCTCCATACCTTTTCTTGCCATTTGTACTTCTTTCATAAGACTTATCGTGAAATTACATGTGAATTTTTTTTTCTTGTTTTATTGGGAGAACTGCCTCAGGATACTTATGGCGTTTGACAGAAATAATTTTTTCTGTTTATGTTACAATTTTTGAACATATCAATGTTATTTTTGGCTAAGTCAATGACTATTCTGATTACGTATTGACTTGTAATGCTGATATCGTTGATGGATTACAGAATAGTAAATTAATTAAAAATGTGATTTTGAAATTTCAGATTCAGCAAGCAATGCGCAATTACGACGCATAAATTTTAGTACCATTTCTGCACCTCGTTATACGTAGATTAGACAATGAGGAGGTGATATAATATGATGCACTTTGAAAATGTATGAACCACTTCGAAAATGATTTGAAAGAACAAATATTACACAGAATACATAGAAAGAATATATAAACTTTGCTTGAGCACTAAATTAAATATTGTAATCGAGACTTCCAGCGAATATGAAGTCACAGTCATAGATATTGACAATGATATAATGCGAATCCAAGTGTGCAGTGAAGTGTGTTATTCCTTATCCTTTCTCTGATAGCCACTTTTTACACTACAAGTATCTTGTTATTCCTATATATTTTATCGTAGAATCAACAAACTTGGGTAAAAAGTGACTACTATAGATACTATAGGATATAATACTTCACTAAACATTTGGATTTGCAGTGTGTACCTATTCAAGAATATGATAATTACGTAGATGAATTGTTTCACAAGTATTAAATTCTTGAGTAGAAATTTTTACCGTTGCTGATATATAACTATGTTTGTTTTACTTATAAAGCCCTTCTGAAAAATCTATATAAATCTGTGATACCACAAATAATTTATGGAAATTAATTATACGGTGTCAGGCTGCGACTGTAGAGACAATGTTGAGATTGGGGTCCCTTTTAATTTATATTTCTTGAAAATATTTTTTACCTTATATATATTCTCCAGCCTCCATATTACTTTTGAGATTTGCTCATTCGTCCTTGCGAATACCAATTTAACATCAGTTTTATAGTGGAGAATTTTTGGTTTGTTTCCAAAAACCACAGGCGTGACGAAACATAATTTTACTTTTGTTCATTTTATGTATATCTGTAATATAAACATAAAATTTTATCTTTCATGCTTTTACTTAGAGTTTAATAAAATAATTCAGTTCCAAGTAAAATCACTTTTTTACAGGATATACATAAAGAAGCATACTTAAGCATAATGGTCGGCGCATAAGGTGTGAATAATGTTTCAGTTTTGTGAATTATAGGACGAATTAAGTGCTTTATAATGATATTAAACTCAGGAAATATATTTTTGTCCCATTTTTATAACTTTTATGTAAAAGTCGCGATATACCGTTAAAGGGTTTATATTTTGGGAAATATCGTTCGCCAAGCAGGTACTGCACATGGCTGCAAGATTTTCGCAATAAAGTCGATCTATTTGAAAAAAAATATTTAAATTTGACTCTGATGTTTGGCAAAAAGACCGGAAGTCTGTTTGCGGATTGAAGCTGTAACCGTATGAACCAGATTATCTGTCAGATATCGAGGTACGTGATCCTGCATTTTCATTGGCAATTTCGAATTTTAGTGAGGTCATACAAGAACGGTGTTTACTGGCTGGTTCCTCGGGGGTGGAATTCGTTAATGAGAGTCCAGTGGCCTGCATGTATTTGCAGGGTTGCCGAAGCCGCATACTTTTGCTAACGGAAGGCGCATCATCCGCACCATTTTATTTTACGATCCAATAAACCAATGGATTGCAAATTCGTAGCACGTAGGGGCCATTTCGTTTTTGGATGCCCGCTAAAGCGGTAAGGAACGTCGGGACGCCAGGCGTCGGATCCGTTATCCCCTTGCTCAAGCTATCACCCCACAGTCTATATTTCGGTAGCTATACCCTCTTATCTCCACGGGTTTCCATGGTTACAATAGCGGCCATGATGCTTTTGGGCGTGGGCTTTCATCCCCTATGCGAGGAAATCCAATAGTTTGTAGGGGATGCTGGGAAAATTGCACGATTCAAGATGGTGCGACACTCTGGACGCGACTGCGCATATATATTTTATTGTTATAAAAGTAGATTCTTCATATTGAACGTTTTGTTAATTAATTTTCGTAATTTTTCGCAAATCACTTTGTGCTACTTAAGTGAATTGTAACAATTTGTATTGTGTGTTAAAAAATTATTTCACGTTAAATTACGAAAGTAAACGATAGTTTAGTGTGGTTTACGCGATTCGCCCATATTTTGCTTTACCGCGAATAATTTTTTAGGGAAAATTATATTAGATTTATTTGCAATCATTTTTTGTCGTTTAACTAACGGTTTTGTTTCTGTTAATGAAATTGCTTATACGACCACAGTTGATTTGCACAATTTTCACACTAATTTCAAAACACGCGAAGTTGGTTACCAAATTTTCTTCTTTTCACAAGAAACAAAATTGCACTGTGATAACCGGATTGGTTTTCACGCGTGTTACTTCGTATCGAATTTTGAAATGTGGTCCAGCAAGCTGCAAACTACAGACTAACGTCTGACGGTTCTCACCACAATGGGAAGCCACGAAAGGATTGGAATCCGTGTTCACGAAATTCTTAAAAAAGTAATAAAACTAGGAAGGATGTAGCCGTAACGAAAGTTCCCGTGTAGTTCTGCACCATACGCTGCCAGTATTTATAGCACGAAACTATTTTGGACACGCGAAAAATCTTGTAACGTGGGTATGTCCACAATCGGTAGGATTACAATGAATAGCCGGATTTTCTTTAGAGGTTTCATTTTATTGCAGTTAGCTTTATTAACGGTTTATTGAGGTAACCGTCTGTTGGCCCACAGCCTCTTTTTTTTTGAATCTTCGCCACGCTTCGTAACCAACAAACACCGCGCAAATGAATATCAGTTCTTATTTTTTTTCCAAAAAATTAGTTTCATTAAAATATATTAACAAGTTTCACTAAAAAAATTCTATAGATTTTTATTTAATTTTAAAGTGTTATTTGGTTTATTATACATCTATTTTATTTGTTATTTATACCTTTTTGGCTTGTGCTGTACTTTAAATTAATTCTTATCGAATAAAATGCTCATGACTAGATACCATTTTATACCGTATAAAAAAATACTGAAGCTACAGTGATCATCAACGATATATATTTTTTTTAAATACTTTCACGGGGACACATTATTACTTCCAATATTTGGCAATGTCAAATTTGGAAAATTAAAAGTGGGCAGTTTTCCTATCATTCCCATAAAGTCGGCAATATTCGGCATTGGCATCGAGAGCAACTGAAACATCCCAAGATGCATAACTGGCCCAGAAGATGTTGCTTGAAGTCCAGGAATATTCGGCAAAACCAATCCTGAAGAAGATGACGGTTCTTCCTTGGATGATATGAATGGCAAAGACGGGAGACCAAAGTTCGAATCCCGTGTTAAACCTTTTGAAACTTCACTAGCGGGATCTTCGTTTTGATCCGACGTAACGTTAGCCATTACGTCGTCAACGACGGGAAACATTGTGTCGTTCGTCGCTGATGTTTCTGATGAGGCAGCTGCTAACTCGACAAATGGTTTTGCCAATCCAGCTATTCGGAAAAGTAATATTTTTTTTTTCATTAATATCGAATCCATCGACATTTGTTTTAAATCTCAGTTGAATAACCAATATTTTTATGTAGGAGAAATTGGAAAGATATATGCTTCGATGGTATCCTATATATTATAATTCGTAATTTGGTAATCCAATCAAAATCTATTACCGTACATTTTCTATGACTTACCTTCCACGAAACACCACAATACAAAAATTATTTTGACATTCATTCTCAAATCTGAAGATTAGGTTGGTTTATTCTCATAGTGTGATTTACACTCTTGTTCCTTATATACAATTCTAGCAGCTTGTTATACAAGCTCAGCTGATACATAATTATGACAAGGCCATTGATAATCAGGAAAGCCAGAATAATTTGTATAGACATTGGAATATTGTGATAAAATAGTATCCGACAGACTACTTCCTCTTTACGTGTATATCATTGTGAAATTAGGCAATGTAGTATTTTACAGAAATTTGACATTTCTCGTAATACATAACATACGCGGGTGTTTGCAAAATTTATACATGTAATAAATTTTCGGTTTGACGTATAAGATACGTGTATCTCAAAATTCGCAATATTCAATGATTCGTGCATGTTATCGCGAAATAATATATGCGCATACGGGTTAACGTGCTTTATTTTCTTCAGATAGAGAAGTTCGTTCCACCTTAAGCGAAATAATGAAATTCTAGTAGAAAGTGGAACGACCTTTTTTTTTTATATATCATTATGTATATATTTCATTATTAATTGATCTCAGCTTCAATGAATTTTTCATTCGTTTTGAACAGTGATTGGTATGACGTCATCGCCAACTGGATCATGTGGAACTTCCGTAGTGGTTGGTCCGAAAAATGAATTTATCCAATCGGTGAAAATCTTGTTTCTAATATCTATATTTTTTGGCATTCTTCGCATACTCGGCCATTTTACGTTAGTCTCCAAATTTGTGGTATCAGCTTCCGATGCAATGGCTGAACCATTACCTATGTATATAAAAATAAAAAAATATATGTTTCTGCTCTTAATCATCATTGCGAAATAGAAATGATTTTACGACAATGAAATATCGATTTTAATATGTTAAGTGATATAAATGACTGTATTTCAATATAGTACAATAATACCAACTAATTAGTAAATGCAAACGCGTTAAATACTCACATGTAAAATCTGCAATAGCCAACGTCAGAATAATCAAGAGAGCAATGCAACGTGACATTTTTTCAAGACTTTCTACTGTTTCGTGTCATGAGTTTTCGTATTTATAGTAAACGAGCAATAACTAATACAAAGTTACTTCGAATAGTCCAGATAATGTACGTGCGTTGGATTATTCATTGCAGTGGATTCGAGGTTTCATATATCAATTAGTATTATGTCTACCCGCATAAGATGGTATTACGAAAAACACTTTGTTTAAAGAAATATATGTACTCGTGAAATTTTTTACAGTGTCCTTGTTATTTTGTAACCAAATTTTTTTCTTAATATTATTGTGTAACATTGATCTAAATAACGACGATTTATTAGTATAAGCAAAATCATTCATTAGTGTTCTTTCGTTAGAGTACTTACGTTAATTGCTGATTTAGGTATGGTGTCTGTACAGTTGAATTCGAAAGTGCATTGATATCCCTTCTGAAAATGCAACTTTCGCTCCGGTTGCTCGTTAATTGTTTGCAAAAAGTTGTATTTCTGCTTTTCATATCTTTCGGGTATGTTTACCGGATATGCGTTATGAGCTACTGCAGATAACTGGCTATAAAAGAGAAATGTGCATTCGCAACGTTGTAAAGTATTCATAAACTTTTGTCAAAGTAGTGAAATACTTGCTTAGGTACATCACGAGACAGATATAATTTCTTTAAAGATGCTCGTTTGGAAAATTGTTCTTATAGCATTTTTGGGATGCGTTTTAGGTAAGTATACAAAAAATTCATTATAACTACAGCCGAAGATGTGACGTAGCTTGTAGTAATAATGCTAGATGTTAAATTGACTATTACGAATAATTTTGTTTATAAACGAAATCATACCACAGCTTTGTGCTCTATATTACTGGACTAAGATTTGGGATTTATAATTACTATAAAATTGTTAATTTAGGCCGCCCGCAGAATATACCATTTTTGCCACCGGGTTTCAACGCAAGCAGTTTAATACAGGCAGGACAAAATATCTTTAACCCTGGTTTAATCGGCAACAATGCCTTTTCTAACGCAAGCCAATATTTGAATCTAATTCCAGGACTTGTAAGTACTATACAAATTTATAAAAAACATACATAATTAACGTATATTTAAATAACACGTATCTCTCATCGTAACTCGAAAATATTCATTTTTCAGAATACCAGCGCGGTACCTGCAGGATTCATACCCGGAAATTCACGGTGAACAAACGTGAAATCTACACAGGATGTCTAACGAGTCACGATTAACATAAGTAATACAATAAGCGCTGATTATAACCGAAACTATATATTACCCAGAATAAATAGAATGCATATATAAATTCAAGGTCAGGCATTATATATCCTGGTAATTACTATAGAGCGTAACTAATTTATAACTGCAAAAGAGAAACCTAGAATTAGGTAGTGAGTATAGTTATCGGTACCGTAAAAAGTGTAGTACGCGTGGAACCTAAACCCAGAAATTGTCGCTTCATAAACTTAGGCAAAGCTACTGTATAAAGTTGGCTTATGGCCAGAAAAATACGAGTCGCTGGTTATCACAGGGAGGCCAGTTATAAATGGTTAATGCAAATTCAGTGAATCGCAAGCCTGGACCGTGAAGAGGAAGAATAGTCGGTAGCCAAGCATATATCGGATGTCGGGGTCCAACGTGACCCTGTGTACGTATGTCTGTATAGGGAAGTAGGTACTATCCAGAGGACACTGAGAACCGTATAGCGAAGCTAAGGGAGTAATGCTTGATATTTTCGGTTCGTAAAACTTTATGGATGGTAATAACCAGCGGCATAGAGCTCTGCAGACTCTAAAACTTCTCTCCGAGCTGCCCGATATACGATATAGAACCACCATCATCGCCAACCACCTTCTAGGCAACCCGCCGAAGTTAACCCTCTTTTGCCGGCGCGCCCTCCTTTTGCATTAATATATACGTATACTGTGCTGGCCATCTTTTATACTCATTTCACTGGATCGACTGACGTGGAATGGGTGAGGGATCAATTTTGTACTTAACCCCATCTCTCCAACTGAACTTGGGAAAATTAATTAAACGAGGGAATAGTTTGATTGTCCGTAACCGTTGCAATTTATTGGGGTTAAGCTGCGAGATTTTTGAACTTTTTTAATTTTTGATTGTTTCATATACTATATTTCGAATTTGCTGGTTGTTATGATATTTTGAGGCTTGTGATTATTTTTTAAAAATTTGGTTCTTTTTTTTATTATTAACACACTAAGCGAATATCGTATGTATGATGTGTGTTTGAGTTTTGGGATTTGTTACCACATATCGGTATGTCATCTAGCCTAAGCGAATAAAAATGGGTTTTACTTTAGAAATATGTAAAAACGTATATGCTACTATATCCATTTCGTAGCTAATATTATTGTTGTATGTCAATTGTTATGTTGCACTTATTTGGAAAATAAGTTATGACAAAATTGAAGCATACCAACAGAAGCTATTGTCGTCCTTCGCCGGGTAATGTTACCGACGTGGCTGCCATGCTGAGAATTCCTATGATTTCACCTACCCGCCGCTAGGTGGTATAGAAGTTTTACCCCCTAGGGGTACGTTCCGAAATATGCTGCCATTATACAAGTATCATAGCATTTTTCTCAAATACATACAAATAGCGACATAACAATGCTTCGGATCCTAAATATGATATTTGTAACATATTTTAATACTGCAGGTCACAGGCCGAGATATTATTGATAAAACATTACGTTATCAAAAATATATGCAGTTGGAATAAAAAATTGAGCGATTTGATAATTATGAATTATCAAATATTTTTGATTGTCCAATCATTGAGCAATATAAGAAAATCTACCACAATGAAATTCATCTTCTTACATGACAATGTAAGATTACACATTACTCATTGTCAGTGAAGCGGTCGATCAAAGTGGAATCTCATTTTAAAATGCAAACACAGTTATCTTTCTTTTTTAAATAAAATAAACTAGCCGACGTACATTTAAAATATATGTAGCACAGTCGTTTACGGTAGTTCTGTGAATAGTTATCCGCAGCGGTACAAATTGCATCTCATAAATTAACAACGATGCGTACTAAACAAGCATATCGTCCTAGCTCCCGGCATTAAGCAGGTAATTGATAGCTACCTGTACATTATGAGCAATAGAAGGTACAAGGACGCATTAAAACGCGTTCAGATATTCATAAAGCTTCGATAAAATAGGAATGACAACTTTTGTACAGATATTAACATTTTTCTTTAACTGTCAAATTAATTTTAAAATAAAAGACACAAGTATTTATATGGAACATATTAATCGTTAAAACTTGCATTACACTATAAAGACTATAATTATATATAACACGCACGTTAAATTATTTGATACAATTATCGTAATAAAAAATGTACTACATCAGGAATTTCTACGGAACTACGATACAGGTGCAGATTATGCAGGTGAAAAACTGTAAAGATTCACAATCAGATAATTGAACATGGTACAGTAAATAAGATTATTGTAAACTACCACTATATGCAGATTCAATGCTAGAAATAAGTGAAAAGTCCTAATATCTTTTTAATATAGAATTTTTTATATTTTTCAAAAAGCGATTAAACTTGTGTTACGTCGGTTGCTCATTTTGAATATAATATATATATACACATAGAATAAAAAATATGAAAAGTATGTATAACTGACCTGCCACGAAATCAACTATCGTAGAAACGATGCCACCAGAAGCTTCTGCAAAGAGAAATTCGAAGAAGTATCAACTGAGAGGAGCGAAGGAAGCCGTTCCACATACCGTATACGATACGGCCATGTTTGTTCTTCTTCAAGTCCTTGAAGATTTTTCATTCTACTCCACACCTTCGCCGTTTGTCCACCATAAAGGGAGATCGCGTAGGTTGTCGTACGGATCTCTAAGGTTTACCAGAAAACTCAGCTGGGTGTCGAGGAATGCCGCATATTTACCGAGGAGCAGTGATAATGAGAAGAACAAACATCGATGCTGGAGATTTCTTGCGACGGCCGTCGGAAACTCGAGGGACGCCATTCACGGGAGTACCAGTACACCTTCCGCGATCCACGGTTGCACCTCGATTGCGATGCTGCTTATAATACGAAAAAAAAATATGAAAATTGATAGAAAATCATTTAAAATCTAATTTAAATAAAAATTTGTTAATCTCGACAAATAAAAATTAAGGGATCGTGAAATTTGAGTATACGAAAAATCTACTGGACGATTGTGTCCGAATGATTCGTTTGTAATAATCTGATAATATTTCTAATTATGGAATCTAATGTGATTTAAAAAAAAATAAAATTGAATTTAAATTATTTCTTAAATATTGTCGGCTTTATCTCAACGAACTATACCTATTGGTAAATTTTGATGAACGGTTTCTAAAATAACGGTTGTGGGGTCGAGTGAATTTTGCAAAATCTCATAAAGTGCAATTGAGATATTTTGGAATATCCGGCTAGTGTCAGTTATGTGCATAGAATGTAGGAAATGCTTCAATGTGAGCGGACCTTTAATGACCTAAGGCGGGCAAGGGGCACCGGCGTAAGTGCCTTGTTTTTATAATACACGTAAAATAAGTTTACGAGGCCGCGGTATCGGGGCAAATTGATTTCGTAACGACAATCGCGATATTAATGTACAATAAAAATATCGCGATGGCAATTAAGTGAGGCAATTGCTCGGCTGCTAATGTTCCCCAGCCTGCCAGTCTTTCTCGCGAGCTCTACTCGATCGACACGTGAACTTTTCGTGTCAGTATTAAGAATTGACAATTTTCATCTTGTCAATTGTATCACGTAATTCTTCACTACTAGTTATGCAAGAAGTCTCTTTTGAATTACAGTGTTCAATATCTTTTCAGATACAAACGAAATACCTTTGACACCGTCTATCGTCAGAGTAGATTTTTCAATAATTAGAAAAAAGTTTTTTTTTAAAATTTTGTATTGATTTTATAAAAACTAGTACATTAGCAAACCACATAAAGTATGGAGAATAAGTCGTAGTTCCTTTAACGTATTATTTTGTGCCGTCGGAACACAGACAATTTAATTTACATTAATTATTAATCATATCTATGCAGATTTTTACATCTTCTCCATATTAAATTTATATACATATTTCTATTTGAAATATTTTTATAAATCAAATGTATAAATATGTAATGTTCATTACAAAAATAAAATTTCTTCAGTTTGCCGAATAATCCGTCGGAAAGACAAGTCCTCGATGTACATTTCCGAAAAGATAATATGTATACAAAATCTTTGCCTGAAAACATTACCTTACAAAAATTAACATGCGAATGAAAATTCCGAATAGATTAAAGTGATTGGGAAAACATTTTAATTTCTTCAATCATAGTCTTTTGATTTTCATATCGGACCTTCGTGTACTTGATAAGTCTCTCATATTTTTGGAAAAGTAAAAAAGTAGCACAAGAAAAACAAAAGGAATAACAGATTTATCGCGACTTTACCGTAAGTGTAAATCAAGTATAAATCAATCAAAGCAAGTAACATATTTCTTATTGTAAATGAATAATAAAAACAAAAAATTACAAAAGGGACGAATAAATAATCCAGGTATATATTTCAAGACGCAAAAAATCATCGCGAATGAAATTACAACAGAAACAAAGGTACGTCAAGTGGTACTTCAGTTCCCCTTAAGATGCATAAGATCCAGAAACAATAAGACTCGTGTTACCTATTCACTCGAAAACTTTCTTCCATCCCGTGAAAGCATAAAGACAATCCATTAAAGTATATCCATAGTCGGTAAATGGACACATAAACATATGAAAACGTAAGTTCTTCGTGCGCCCGTAGTTCCGTTGTCGGAGTGACATTTATATCGGTTATCCCAATGAAAACTTTTCAATAGCACAAAATACGAATAAAACTTTGTAAGTGATATGTAATATAAACCGTGGTTAAAAGTTGACTTGAAAAGTGTATCAATGTGCAATAATTGGTGTTTGTGCGAGAGTAACGTCGAAAAAATAAAAGCACGACAGAAGGATAGTCCCAGGCAAAGTCGATGAAGAGGTCTACCCTGGCAGAAGTTCGTGCGCGTGCGCCTGTGTACACAACTATTAAGTGCTTACATTTATGCCTGTCATAATTGGCTTCGTTAAATGAAGAGAGTGGCTGAGGAATTAGCTTGCCGGTAATAACGCAGCTATTTATTAACACGTGAAACGAGACGCCGCGGGACCTGCGAGCGAATCTAATTCTCTTCCTCAAGGAATATCCTGTATGTCCTATTGCAGTTTTCATGACATCTCCGGACCCGACGGATGTCCAGTTTCTATGGTAAGTATTACACGGATCCTGAATCCCAGTATCAATCTACAAAATATACCTGTGTATTTATAAGAAATTACCATTTCTTATGGGTTATACAGAACAAGAGTATTTAATAAGACCTACAATTTTTTCATTTTTGCTTGTCTTTGCTGAATCGCATACCTGTAATAATCATTGATTTGTACGTTAAATGTCCAATGTCTTTTTCTTTGCCTTCAAGAAAGGGAACCGGGCGTAACGACAAGAATGGTTCATTGGGGATTGCGATTTTTCTATTTTTGCCAAGCAATCCGCGCGACGAAGCCAAACCGCAATAAATTCCAGTGGTGAGAGCGCAGAAGAGTACAAGCTGAGCAGGAGTAACCAGTCACAGGGAGAGAAAAGAACGACCAGCCATACCAGTCAGTGGCTGACTGGATGCTGCTGGCTGCACAAATACAACCCTGCCGGTCAGCCTTATACAATAATAATTGTTTTTATGGCCCTCGAAGTTCCAATGCTTCGCGAAGAAGGATCCGGAGGGTACAAAAACATATCTTTCGCCTCTACTTCTTCCTCTTCCACGTCATTACGAACATTTCTCGTCTTCGTCCTGGCTGCTTCTAATTTTTTCAAAGGGAAGAAGTACTCCTGGTTTTTCTTGTGTCCTACGAAAAAAAAAAAAAAAAAAAATGAAAGCGACCTGCTAGCCTAGATTTTTGTATGCTTTTTTTTTAGATGGATTTCATCCTGCGGTTGTAAACTCTGAATGGTCCGGAGTGTTTTCACTTTTTCGGGCAATCCCTAAATTCTCCATGAACACCATAACCACGCTATATTTTCTCCGAAAGGTTATCCTATGGCTTTGTCCTGGCGATTCGAGCGTCGAAACCCATTACTGCTATCATCGATGCTATATACCGCTGCAGTCATCATCGCCATTATCACCAGCATTTGTCCCGGGAATGAGATAGGTTATTTTTTAGTTTTAAACACTAGGAAAATTGGTCGACACCGACTGAAACGAGCTGTAGACAGATACGTGGGTTCGTATGTGGAAGAGCCAGACGCCCCAGCCGCCCACATTATCGATCTCTTGCACGCCAGCCACCTCCCGTACATATGGCTTTCGTTCCATGGTGTTCTCTTGAGAGCTAAATAATATTAATTTACGTTCTCTTAAAAGGAAGGTCATTAACCACAGGAAATAATTTACTAATACCTGTAATAGGTGTAGATATATAAGCGTGTTAAGACTATTGGTCGTTTCCATAGCAACCATATCTGTTTACTGATATAATTAATTCTTATCAATTTTATCAACAACGCGGAGTACATACGAAAATAACAATAGGATCGGTATTAATTAGCAGAGACTACTTAAAATTTGCATAATTTATTACTAACTTTCTAAGTTATGATCGTTCTTACGTCATAAGTAACAACGCTAATAAATTAAAGTTAAATTCACACGTTACGATGAATAGTTTGAAATGTCAATGGCGCGATTATAAAAAATGTCTACAACATAGTTACGTAAAAATATAAGGTAGCATCGTTGGCAAGTCTGCATACCAAAGGCAACCACCTCTTAAATGAAGTCTCTTTACAGGCTGCCACAATGTTAGTAGCAACCACTTGCTGCTAGATTGTTACTTGTCGTATAAGTCAAGAGGTGCTTTGGTGATGTTGATTGCACTTCTGCGCGAGGCCGTACCACGGTTACACGGGTGCAACAACAATTGAATACATCAACAAGATACAAGCCACGAAGCTTCAAAGACACGATGGACCTCCATTTTGTTAAGTATCCCCTTAGAAAGTCGATCTCAGGATAGAATGCGGAAAAGGGGTTGAAAAATTGAAATAATATCGGCTCCTATCGCCCCACCACCATATCAGGTATCAAAACGAAAGGAACCATTAATCCCATCGCGACTGTACTGCAATTTGTACTTTTTTCGTCATATATAACACCATCCTGATTTACGTTTCTCAGAAAGAGTCTTTAGGTCCAGAGAGATTTGCCGCCACAATAATGCCGCGAATCTCGTTGTGTTACGTCGAACGGTGCCTTTATATTCTTAAACTTTTTCTGGCTTAGCTAAAGCCTCTCTGGCTCAAGCAGCCAGGATAGATTTACTGTTCGACACTGGGATTTCATTTCTCCTAAGGCTTTAGACTTTCTCAGCAATCCCATTACCACCGGAGTCAAATGTGATTTAGGATCGAGCCTTGCGGGGTGCATCGCAATCTTATATCCTACCATGGATAATCAACCTGAACTCACCAATGATTCTTATGGGCGTTTCTTTCCTTCTCCAGATAGATCCCAATCGCCATGTTGGTATTACTTGTATATAGCTACCTACTATCTTGGTCAAGTTTCCTATAGACCGAGCGTTTGCTGAGCTCGTGAACGACTTTTTATCTTGCTACAACATGAAACATGGAGATATGGATTGCACGTACGAGGATCGGGCGTTAGGCGCGTCTCTGAGCTCTAACCACACTTATCCTTAGTCCTTCACCATACCTACTATTATGTAGGTAATAATGGTCGGTGCATAAATATTCACGCTGGCAACGGCTATA